CTCTCAGCCTATTGGTACCTCGTGTCAAGAAATCCGATCCAATCCACCCAAATGTTTAGTCAAAGGAGAGATAGTGAAAGAGATTCGGAGACAAATGAAACTTTTTTAAAATTCTGTGTAGAGCACATATTCATTTTACAACTTATTGTTTTATTATTTTTTTAAATTACGTTTCGAGCTATTATAAAATCGAATGAAGGACACATATCGAATAATAATCACATATAAAATTATTATCTGTAATTAATTATGTATAAAATAGCAGCTAACTTTTACACTTGTTTTTGTAAAAGCATCTTAGACCTAAGGTTCTTTTTGACAAAAGAAATAACATGGAAAAGACCAAAAAAATGAATTTAACATCTTAATGCTGTTTCTCATAGGGTAGAAAGTGTCAATTTTCTAGCAGTGGTTTATATTTCGTGGTTACCTTTTCGAAAAACATTACGGATGTTCTTTTCTAAAGATGATTTCTTCTCTATGATGTGTTCTTTCTTTCTTTTGCTTTTTCTGAGTGAAGTCCTTCTCAAATAATATTTCGTACTTCTCATATTCTTTTGGAAATAAACCCTCACATATTTTTGAAATAAGATTTAATTTATTTTACAAAAAAAATAATATAATAAAGAAAGAAGTAAGTTTCTCAGGCAGTGAATTTTCTTTTCATTTTTTCTTGAAGGAAATGCTGTTATTCTTGTATTTTTGTATTCTTTACAACTTAATTCTTAAAATAAATTTATACAATTCAATATCATACTTTAATATTATGTTATTCTTATTAATAATAATGTATATTATTTTCATTCTTTTATTCCCCACATGTTTTAATAGCTATAGGCTAAGATTAAATGAATTTAAAATTCTGTTCGAATAAAATAATAATGAAAATGACAGAGTCATTTAAATATGTGAAATCTATAATATGAATTGAATTTTTTCGAACAGACAAGTGGTCTAACACAGTTTTAGCTATTAAAGACGAGCATTTCTCCGCAATCGAATCGATCTGCATGAATGGAGACAGAAAATAATGCCTCAATCCTAATTATTCAATTGCATAAAAATTGTAATAGTGTGATTCAGATTAAAACTCAAACCCGTCAGAATGTTGCTTTTTTTTTCATGTGATCATACGGCAGATTATTGTAAATCTATGTTTACTGTTTCCTTTATTTTAAAATTGCAGTAAGTCTCATCCCCTTTATAATTAGCAAAGAAATATGTTAATACTTATGCTGTATTCATTGAAATATTAAATTATGCTGATCTAATGGAAGCGTTTATTAAGGTATGTTTTCAGTTCGTGAGATTACAAATTCGAATACCGCTTCAGCCATGTTTGGTTGATGTCTATACAATTTTAATAAGCTTTGTTTGTTTAGGATCAACGAATTGAAGTTATTGTTGTTTATGGCCTTGCTCTCATTCAAAATTAAAAGAAAGAAGGTAATATTACAGACCTATATCTTTTCGCTTCAATAAAGATTCTTCGAGAATTTGTAAGCAATTCTGTGGTCGATTATGGAAGATTTTTAATTATTTTCTTAAAAATAAAGATTAATAGTTGAGAATTATTATCTTTAATAATATCAGCGAATTCAGACTTGTATCGATATTGCATGTTTCGGACTAAATAATGAGATTAGAAATTTATAGTTTTAGATCTGAACTGCTTCTGTCGGCAACTGAATGAGGTCTGAGTAGTCCTGATTTATTTGTTTAACAGGCAGTATTAAAGTTAATGAAAAAGTACAGTACTTTTTATTGATTAAACATATAAGATTATTCAGAATTTGGTACATTGTATACAATAAAAAATGACGATAATACGATTTTCTTTTAAATTTTCGAAAATACTTTTGAAAATGGATGTCTTTCCTTCATTTTCATAAAATGTAATCCTCGTGTTTTTTAACCTAATAATTGTTTTCCCAATGTTCCTACTTGAATAGAAAATTAAAAAATATATTTTTAAAAATTTGACTTATGCTTTCGAATAATATTATTATTATTTGTGAAGGAAGCATAAATCATGTTTCGAGTATTTCTTTTCGAAAAGGAATATGATTAATGTTTCTTGCTGTTTCTTTCGGAAAAGGAATAATAATAAACATTTTAAAAAATGAACTTGTACTCTGATATATTTTTTAATTTTTTTTTCTTAAATTAAAATTTTCGAGTATTCCTACTCGGAGAAACATTCGGAAATACTATCCACATGTTAGTGTTTACCAAAATTCGATCTTGCGGCACGCTTCCATACAAACAAAACTTAAACAAATGTTTGATTGGCTTTAGGCCAAAACCATTCGATCAAATAATCTATTAATTCAATTATTTGTGTCAAATAGCATTATTTCTCAATGAATATAGAACATTTACTTCATTAATATGTTATGATGGCAATTGAAATACACTTTTAAAAGTTTCGAATTTAAAAGAAAAAAGTCGCAACTCATGGAAGTTTAAGTTAAACGTACTATACCAGTAGAATATCGTTATTGAGTTCATTAGTGCTTTTACTAGGCCAAATCAACTATCGTTTATTAATATCTGATGTTGCTGTGGTAACTCGATTTGCATTTTATAAACGTAAACACGCAAACAACATGGAAAATGTGGTACTTATAAAAACAGGTGGTTTGATATAGCACATTTAAACAATATTGACACAAATTCACGCTGAGAATAGATTATTCACATATAAAAAAATAGATAAAATAAAAAATGTCAACTTGATCAACAAAATATGATCCTTTAAACAAAAATTTTTCATTAAAAATTTAACTTAACTTTACTCTATAGATTGATAGCTTGGGTGTTGTAAGCTCTATCTCATTGAACAACGCCCAAACTACTCACTCGACAATGAAGATTTAAAAAGAAAAAAAAATTAAATTTCATTATAGTTTCATATTTGATGTGTAAAGAAAGTTTTATCGGGCTTTTTTGAATATCTTACCCGCATAAATTTGAATATTATATAGATTAACTTGGCTTTTATTTATATACGAACCGTGATGAATATCGATTGACCATTTAAAATCTAAATAATCGATTACGGTTAGAAATCAAGTAGAAAATACAGGATACCAAAAAAAAAAATCTAAATTGAATTTTTATGCGGTGAATTTATTTATTTTTTTTAATTGTTACGTAATATCATTTCTAAATAATGAAAGTAGAAGAAAAAGAATTGGGTGGAAACCTTATTTATCTAATCCACTTGGTTATATTGACACGACGTATCGATCCATTCTTCGACTGTCTTCTGTTTAACTATTATTTTTCTTGATTTAGATACGAAATTGAATTTTATTATTTTTAGTAAATTAATTGGAATTTTTGTGAAAATTACTATACTTATTGTAAATTCATTTTTTAAAAGCTATATTTATGTATTATTGTCAATAATTCGTATGATTAAATCATCGTTTATTCTATTTTAAGATGAATTTAAGAAATAGAGAATGCAAAGTCTTTTTAAGCCCTTCTAATTCATGAGGCTTAGTTATTTTTTAAAAAAATTGAATTGTATTAAAAATCGGTTTACTAGAAAAAAATTGTATAGTTAAGCTAAGTTATTTTATATTCTTTGTATTAAGATTTCTGCATATTCTTAGATTTCCTAAGATAACAGGGAATAAATATTTTTAAATGTATTTTCATAACATTTTTAAGATTATAAGTTTCGTAAGAAATGAAAGGTAAAATATTATTACTTAGATTTTTCAAGATATATTTTTAGAATTTATATTTATTAATAAATATACGAAAATCGATTAAGATTTCGTAATGAATAAATTTTATTTATAAAGATTTTCTTTGCTTTTTTTATGGATTGATGAGTAAATTTTATTAATAAATCGAGATTTATTAATAAAAATATTAAGGTATTCTTAAGATTTTTCTATTATCTTTAACGTTTAAATTTAATGATTAAAAAAATAATAATAATACTACAAGAAAACGGAATTTTGATATTCAAATATGGCGGAATTTCAGTTTCATGTCAACAATGATTCTTGCTTTCTAAACTGATATCTAAGAAACAATATTTAATAGCTTCATCTTTTTTATTTATGCTATTTAATAATTCAATTAAAACTAAGATTTGAAAATGAACATTTTCTCTCGCTTTTATAAAGTAAAATAAATTGAGCATAAGAAAAATATAAAAATTCTCTAGTTTCTTTCGTGGGCATCCACAGAGGAGAAAAACGGAACAATTATCTCCTGGAATAGAGTAAAATTTCTACAAATTATAATCGTAAAAGTGATTGAGATATGTAACTCTGTACCCTTGACCATGGGACACTTTGAAACAATACTGTATCCTATAATCTACTTATGAAAAAAAATCCCCCAAAATTAAATAGTTAAATAAAAATTAATTGATGTCCCCAAGCCTTGCCTCCACTTGGAAAATTTTCTTCGGACACTCACGATTTCTTGTATATTTACTTTAGATTTCTTTAAAAAAAAGGACACATTGTATTAAGAATAAGATCAGATTTAGACTTCTCGTAGCCTAAGCTGTAACACACAAATGCTTTTTTTCCTTTACCAATTTATAATTAATATGTGAGTGAAATCTAAGTTATAATTAGCTTGAAAAACATCTAACCCTGATTAAGACTTGTAAGTCTGTAGAAATAAATCTAATGTTTCCTTATTTAAATATCTTTTTAATAGGCCTATGTAAAATGAACTATCAGTTTAATTAATATTTATGAATTAGAATCTTAAAAACTGAATTTAAAATTTGAAAAAATGATATACCATTTCAGAAATATCTTTCAAATAATCGATTCTGTCAACAATTTTATAATAAAATTTAATTTAATTATATAATAAAATGATAATTAAAACGAATCCACGAGGGATAAAAATTTAAATCCATTATGTTTTAAATTATTAATTAAATTTTATATTTAACGTGACTTATAGGAAATTGCAAAGAACCAAATAGAATGAATTATTCTCTAAAGAATAAGAAACCAAGTCGGGTATAAAATTTGAATGGGTGCTGTCTGGCGTCAGAATTTACAAGGACGAGAAAATGCCATCTGGTCCTGTTAGATTCCATTGTGAGAATAGTAGTGGATGTACTTCTAAGCATCAATTCTGTTTTCCAATGAAAAATTTAGTTACGAGAAGAGTACGGTAAAATCTACACATTAGAGTACGAGGTGTAAAGAGAAAGAGATATAAATAAATCCACAAAAACAGGTTAAAATTTTATGAAACGTTAAAAATTCTTGCAAATGATACTATTAAATATTAGCAGATGTTATGTTTATTCTTCTGCAGTGTTGCATGATAAAAATAATTATTTTGTCTATGAAACTAGTTGCTACCATTTGACAAATTAGAAAATGACAAGCAGCTGGAAACTTGCCACATCCAAGATTCGTCTCTGCACTTTATGATCATATTTAATGTGACTAGAGAAAAAACTGATGCCGCAATGAGCACAAAACTAAGCAAATTATCACTGTAAGTAAACTTTTTCTACCAACATTTATAGATAATCTTTAATATAGAAGTGAATTTTTTGAATTTTTCCGACTGCTATGAAATTCTNAAATTAGTTATTTTTTGTATTCTTATTTAGTTTTTCCCCCTTCTCAAAATACGAAATGAAAATGAGGAAAGCAAATCCTTCATTGAAAAAGTTTCGATATTAGAAAAAGAAGTTAAATTATTATTGTTTTCTTGAAAATATTCAAAACATAATTTTTAGTGAAAGTATTTTACATATTTCATGAGAAAATATTTAGTTGTCAGTGTATTTAATTTTCGAAATCTGTAGAAAATTAAAAAAAAAAGTAGAAGAAAATGAAGTGGAAAAATATATTGTTATTCAATATTGTAAGAGGAAGCAGAAGAATTTTTTATGAGGAATGAGTTGGGAAAAAGTAGAATGTGTTTGGAGCAGTAATATTATTTACGAACGATGTAAACAATAGTACTGTGATTGAATTGAAATGCTCTTTAATGATCTGTTTAATGTAATTTTTCGCTATCAATTTCTCACTAAACAAAATAAAATATCGCAAATGAAAAAAATATATATTTCAATTTATTATATTTTAAGTAATGGTATAGAAACAACTGTAAATATTTAGGGGAGGAAAGCTTTTAGAAACAAAGAAGAATGTCGAGTAAAACTTGATATTAAAGAGATCTAAAAAATGAAAAAGTCAAATAAAAAAGCCGAAAAAAAATCTATCGTACAACGTTCTAAATGGAAAAATTATTAAATACATCTTCAAATACTCTTAGAATTTAAAATTTTTCATATAACAAAAGCTTTTAAATATAAATTTATAGACATTTTACACTCAGAAAGTGTAAAATTTTCTTTCTACGATATTGATTTTATCATAATTTTATCGAAACACACGATATTTAAAACTGCGTATTTTTTTCATTTTAAGTATCATAAAAGCGTGAAACATATTTAAGTATATACATAATTACAGGAAATTTTTTTTATTATCCTTATATTAAAAGTTAAAGCGAGAAATAAATAACAATTAAGAAAGAATTTTAAGGTTTAATTGAAAGAATATAACAGGATTTTGACACGAAGCAATCAAAAAGGAATTACTGGTAGAAAGTATTTAATTTATACCATCATAAATTAATTTTCTTCTCATTTCTCTGCAGAAATTACAAAATTTTCTTCCAAGCAATTTCTTTACAAGAGAATGTGGAAAAATAATTATAAAAGTGCGATTTTTAATTTCTGATACCGTATTTCGAAAGATATATTCTTGGAAAAAAGTTAAGAGAAGAAAATGTAATGTCGAATAAGTAATCCAATTAGATAATACATTATTAGAGAATGTTATATCAAGAGATAATTCAATTCATTTTCTCTCAGTAATAGTTTTATGAAAGCTAATAAGATTATCCAGCAGATAGTTATATTTCTAAGAAATATAGAACTTCGAATAATTAACCTGAGGATAAATTATCAGGAAAAGGATGAAACGAGACAAGATTCGACATCATTAAGTTAGCTCTATTGCATCATAAACTTATCGGACGAACTTGTAAAAATCGATAAATACTAATAATAATCTGAATAAAATTTAATAATGGGCCTACATTTCTTACACCTTTCGATAATTTAATATATAACCATTCTTCATAGAAAACTACAAAATTTGAGTGAATAACACGAAAAAAAGGATCTATAGAAGAGTTACATTGACAGCTGTGATTTAGTAGATGTTAGGTGAGATAGAAGATAGCTGTAAAAAGAAAATGAGAAAATACATATAATACCGTATGGTGTTGGTCTTATAAACCAAAGAAAGCATCGAATTTTTTATTGGTCCGCTAAATAAAGCGAGATAACATCGGATAATGATATAATCTGATGATGAATAAAGGATGTATAGTCTTATCGATTTTTCAAATTTTGTTAGTTTATTATAAGGAAATTTGTTGTCTGCCGAATTTTCGACATCATTTTACAATATGAAATTGTGATGGTTTGATTCTATTACCTAGTTAAAGGAGGGAAGAAAGGAAAAATAATGCTTATTTTTTTTTAGTCTTCTATTGAAAATCTAGCTAAAAATCAATCGGCCCGACCACAGATAAGAAGAAAGTAACTAAATATAATAAATAAATAGGAAAGAAAAATAGAGTGCACTTTTCTTTAGAAATAGATTCACAAATTATATTATGATTTGGATTTCCAAGTAGAACGATAAAAAAATAAATAAATAAAAATAAAAATAATAAAAAAACATAAAATGGTAATGTATTTTTTTTATTTGTATTTATTTTTTACTACGTTTCAAATAAATTGTGCAGATCGTCGGACATTTTAAAAGGTAATAAAGATTGAAAATGTTTTATGTTATCGAAGAGAAATATAAAATTTTCCCTCATTCTTATATATTATTATGAATAAATGAAATATATTTAAGACATTACTCGAATTAATACTTTAAATATACTTCCTAGTATTATTTTTTAAATAAGCTTCGTGACTGAAAATGAATAACAAAGCGGTTCTGATAAAAATGTTAAAAATATTCATTTTTAAGCATTAACTCAAAAAAATTCGTATTTTATTTAAAAATATTTAGATATATATCGTCGTGTTGCATGCCTTTTATCAATTTTAAATATATATAAAAATGCTGCACGCGTCTGTATAAAGCTTATATTTACTGAAAGAAAAATTCCAGTATTGCAAGAAAACTACTTATAAATTTGATTAAAGTGAACAGGGAAAAAATCTGTATGATATAGGTTATAACAAACAATTTATGCTTTCTGAAGAATGTTTGATAAGTATATTAGAAGTAAATTGTTATGAAAGAACGTCATCGTTGGAAATGAATGACATTTTGAACAATGGATATCAGTTGGAGTGCTCTTGCTTCATTAATGATGTGAATAAGTCCTGTCAGATTTTAAATCAGGTCAGTTATTTATGAAATGCTAGTTGTAAAATTTATAAATTTTTTTGTTCTTAATTAAAATTTCCTTATTGATTTGAGTTAAGAAAAGTATTTGAAGTCTTCCGTCGATTAAAAATTAAAAAAAAAATTATGTCTTTTCAGAAAATAATTTATATTTGAAAATTTTGCGTTACGAAGATAATTTAAATAAAATTTGTCTTTAAAAATTAGTTATTTTTTGTATTCTTATTTAGTTTTTCCCCCTTCTCAAAATACGAAATGAAAATGAGGAAAGCAAATCCTTCATTGAAAAAGTTTCGATATTAGAAAAAGAAGTTAAATTATTATTGTTTTCTTGAAAATATTCAAAACATAATTTTTAGTGAAAGTATTTTACATATTTCATGAGAAAATATTTAGTTGTCAGTGTATTTAATTTTCGAAATCTGTAGAAAATTAAAAAAAAAAGTAGAAGAAAATGAAGTGGAAAAATATATTGTTATTCAATATTGTAAGAGGAAGCAGAAGAATTTTTTATGAGGAATGAGTTGGGAAAAAGTAGAATGTGTTTGGAGCAGTAATATTATTTACGAACGATGTAAACAATAGTACTGTGATTGAATTGAAATGCTCTTTAATGATCTGTTTAATGTAATTTTTCGCTATCAATTTCTCACTAAACAAAATAAAATATCGCAAATGAAAAAAATATATATTTCAATTTATTATATTTTAAGTAATGGTATAGAAACAACTGTAAATATTTAGGGGAGGAAAGCTTTTAGAAACAAAGAAGAATGTCGAGTAAAACTTGATATTAAAGAGATCTAAAAAATGAAAAAGTCAAATAAAAAAGCCGAAAAAAAATCTATCGTACAACGTTCTAAATGGAAAAATTATTAAATAAAATAAAAAATTAGAGAGAAAAATGTAAATCGGACTGAATAGGATTTATAGATTCAATTAAAGAAACGGCAGAAGAAAAATAGATTTAAGATTAAAATTATTCTAGAAAAACAAAAAAAAAAAAAAACTACAAATAATTGAATTTTAATGCCGAAGAATAATTGTACAAATTCTTACATCTACAGACTAAAATGCATTTAATTAAACAAGAAAATATTCGGATAAGGAAACAAGATTAAGATAATAAAACTCGGAAATAAAAAACAACATTTATTCTATATAAAAGTAAAGACATTTTGTAGTAAAAAAAATTTAAAAAGTGAATAGAATAATATCTTTTGAAGATAAAAGGCAAAAAGTGATCTAGTTCACATATTGCAATATTTCTATCATCTTAGTGATTGAGATGTGCAGTAGCATGTAATATTGCTGAATGCAAAGAATACGAGACGAAAGGAAATAAATCTGAAGGTTAAAGAAGAAAAGGATAAAGTTTCACGAGAGATAGATATACTTAAACTAGATTTCAAAAATAGAAAAATTAATCGAAGATGAAATAAATAGAGGAAAAACAAATATTAAGTGAAAGAAAGAATTGGTTTATTATTAAAATAAGATAGGGGAGCACCTATCTTATATAATATTTAATTAAACTGAAAACAATGGGAATTATTATAATTTCTTCACTTATTATTATCCTCATTATTATTATTATAACTATAATGATTGTGATTCACATATAATAAACTGAATCTCATAATTAATATGAAAAGACTAATTTCAAATAGGCCTACATTAAAAAAGAAAATAACTGGATTCGTATGTAAATTACGGTAATTTATAGGTGAAAACATTTAAAAAGTTAGAATTTATCTCAAATGAAGATGTAAAATGTTCTTAATTATGAGTAATTGTTACAGTAGAGATAGCTTAAATATAAGAGATCCATCTGGCAGTTGCTTTAGGGTATTTTTTAACCCATCGGCCCATTTAGTTAATAGAACATTGAGCCTAATAGTATCAACATTATCAGGAATAACGAATCGATAGTCTAGGTGATCATTGAGTGGGTGTTCACGAGTTATTATTTACGTATGAAATGCAGACCATTTCGTAGAGTAAATCTGGTCTTGCAATTTCCTATTAACGCTTTGTCCTGGA